AGGCATTTCAAGAGAGAGAAATAATCTCCCCAAACCTGTGAGTGATAAAACATGCTCCAGGGCATTCAAAATGAGAAATTATCATGAGCAACCATGATCCAGAATTTCAGAGGCACCAGGGGAAGGGTGGACTGGGGGATGTCAATTACAAAAGAACACACATGTACCAATAAAATGAAGCTGATTATGTCAATTGTTCTGTAATGTTTTCTACTGTTTCTTTTATTTTGAGGCTTGGCTGATATTTGAGTGGAAGCCAATTCAGAACTCTTTCTAGGCTGGGGTTCCTGAAGCTACACAGGAGCGACAAACAGAAGGAAAAGTCAGATCTCATTTTTTCAGCTTAAACTCATTACTCTTTGTAACTCTTCCCTGAAGGCCAGCATGAACAGCAAACTCTAGACTGCTTTTTTCTCTCATTCCAGAAGTTTCCATGGGTCTATTCAAAAAGGCATCATTAGAAAACAGTGTCTAAAAAAGGCATCAAAGCTTTTTCAAAGGCTCTCTAAAAAGGACAGATGCAGAACTCAGTCCAGCTTCCTAGATCTCAGTGTAAGAACAGCCTGGAAATTCTGCCTGGAATGCTTCCCCAGGCAGGTGACAGAGTGCAAGCAGAGCTGGGCACAGTTAGCTCCTGAAAGGCATGGGCAGCAGGAGCAGAGGACACTGAGCACTCACATAAACGAATCTGTGGAAAGAGAATGCTAATGACCTGCTAATGCAATCACGGGAAGTGAAATCCCACATGTAAACAGTGTCACATTATTGGGGCCGATTAGTCAGAGGCAGAAGGAGGGAGCCTCCAGCCACAGAGAGCAGACTGCTCTCCAGAGCTGCAATTGCTAAGAAAACCAAGAGCAGCCTAAACTGTATCAACAAAGATTTGGGCCAGAATGATTCCCCACAAGGACAATGGAGCATTGGAAGAGGCTGATTGGCAGTGCTGCAGAGAGCCCACCTTAAAAAAATTTTTTTTAAACTGTTTAGGCAAGTGTTTGTCTGGAATTATGCTGCCTTGAGGCAACAGTACAAGACAGGTGAGGCTGCCTCCAGTTCCAACTCCCAGGAATGTACAAGCAAAGCTTCAACAACAGGTGGAGCATGTTTCTCCATTCATCTGCCAAGTCAGTAGGTCTGGAATTAGCAAAGACCAAGTTTTAATAAGCCTGCCACATAAAAAGAGGGCTACAGTTTGTGTCAGGAACAACAGCAATTATTGCCAGTGGAATTTCCTACTGGAAAGGACTTGCTCACCACAGCCCTGAGCACCAGGAATGACCTACGGACAACAGTGAAACATAAGCACAGGTGGGAAGACAGAGAAGCCTACTATGAACTTTGGAATATATTACTGTGCTAGACACACACACATGGGCTCAAAAATATTTCTCACAAAAAGCTGGGAAACTTGTTTCATAGTCTGTGCAATTTCAAGTTGGAAAACATTCCAAGACTTTAGGCTTCATTAAAAATGTAGGAATTAACTGTCTACAAAACTGCCAGCAAACAAGTAAACATCAAGGTTTGTCTTCAGTGGGTGTTCTTATGCACTTTTCCATGCTTTGAGCATGCTAGGAAGCAAAATGACATTTTTTTCCATTGCTTCAGATACTTCTATTTGAGACAAAGTTCTTGTACATAGAGCCAGTGAAAGCTCCCACATCTTTGGACCAATTTAAACCTCCTCTCTTACCTCCTATCCTTTTCTCATCCCATTAGTTAAGCAATCTGCAGTGACCAGGAAACCCAGCCCAAAACTTCAGGTCAGCTGAACTCTTCTCAGAGGTGCAGTCTTTGTTTCAAAACTGCCCTCCCTCCTGGCACCTCTGAGGGACACTGGATGAGCTCAGACAGTGAAAGGAACCAAGTGTGGAAACAGCAGAAACCAAGTGTGGAAATAGCATGTATTCAAGTTACCCACAGAAGCAATAAGAGAGAAAAGTCACTTACTAGAGAAAGGGGCTTATAAAATAGAAGGCAACTCATCCTTGTTCATTAAATGGAATAGGCAAAATACACTAACACCAGTCTGTGGGATTTTGAAAGCCTACTGCCACTCTACACATGAGCAAGTCTTATTCTTGGTTATGAATTTCTTGCTCTCCTACTTGCAACAGCCAACCTGAACACTCAGTGTTATTACTCAGTAGAACATAAAAAACACCAAAAGAATTCCAATAACTGCCTCATGACATAAAAGCAGATAATCAATTACACAGATTGTGGTTAAAGAGAGATTAAATTAAAGACAAGAAAGTTATCAGTAAATATACACAGAACACAGCTGTGAAGGAGATAAAGACATAGAAAAGGCTGATGGAAAAGATTTAAATGGTAAGAAACTGCTCTACAATCAAACTATTTATGGATTATACACACAGTAGATGACAAAGTTCACCTACTAGAATACAAATAAAGAGTGGCTAAGGCAATAAAACACAGCTAGAAAAAAAAATCTACAATAATCAAGGTAATGGATCACAAAATAATATACATACATCCCCAACAAGAACACAACCACCAAAATCAAGTAGCTTGTTTCCTTTTCATTTACAGCATGGCTTTCTTGCACAAATCACTTCATCACTATTTAAAAATCCCTCTGAAAGTGCAGAATAAACTTGTTTGGAATTTGGTAGCATCTGCCTGCAAAGGCATCAAACTGCAGCTGTGTATCTCTTCTACCTGGTCTTTGCTCAGTCATACTGAAGCATGACAAAATTATTTTGGAGACTGACTGAATACTAATTCAAAAAAGAAGCAAACTCAAAATTTCTAGCAGAATTCACATAGCTTCACAATTAAAGCACATCCCTAAGCTCTTCAGACTTCAGTATTTTGTGTTCTGAGTGTTGCTGACCGAAGAGGAGGGGAAGCCCTGCAGCCCATCAGGACAGAAAACATCCCTGGACAAGACAGAAAAGGTCTCAAGTACTCTGAATGTTCCCATGCTCCCAGGTGACCTGGTCTTGCCAGGGTAATGACAAATATATTGTTGTAAACCCAAGCAAAGTACACTTTAGGCCCAAAGAGGGCAAATGCCTGTAATTTAATGAGTGAGGAGAACAACCTCCTGCCTCCCTGGCTCCCCTGTTTTTAACAGGCAGGTGTTCCATGCTCTGGAATGTCAGCCAGCCATTGGAACACCCGTGACTTGCTAGAACCGATGAACATCTATTTTCATCCACCACTAAGTGGAGCTGTTACCCTGGGAAAAGAGTTTCTCCAGCTCTTCCACTGAGGAGAAAAAAAAAAAAAAGAGAAAACGAGGTGGATTGCAAGCAGCCAGAAAACGAGGTGGATTGCAAGCAGCCAGTTTTATAGTTTCTTTAGCTCTCAGTAATTTTTGTGGTAAAACTATTAAATATATAATTCTGAGGACACTACTTCTGTATCCTCCAATCAAAGAATAAACATCTACCTATGTCACTATTTGGCAGTTCTTCTGAGGTTGTGAAGAAGCTCCCACATAACAAAGATTGCCCTGCACAGCTCAGCAAAGGTGAGAGGCAGAGAGCAAGAGCAGCAGGCAGCAGATGGTCTGCTGCTCCCTCTACGTGGAATACACTGACATGTAAAAAAGCAGGACACAAGCTCAGTCTACATATAAAATCCTGGGAAAAAACTCATCCACAAGTCACAGGAAATCCAGCTATACCCAGAGGGGCTGGCTGAGAAATACACTGACATTGTTTTATCCACAGCTACTTGTATGGTGACAACTGGGGATGGAGACTTCCCTGATTAAAATAAACTACTTGAGAAAGAAAAGGAAACTCCAGGAAACAGTAACTAAACTATGTTTTGTGTTAACAAGTGTCATAGGTGAAAATAGAAACTTGACATTTAAAACAAAAGTATAAATAAAGCATTTTGCTTTCAGCCCTTTTAAATGTTCAGCTACTGGTGATAGGAATAAACCTTAACTTTAGATATTCAAATCACTTTCCAATATTGACAAGAAAAAGAAGCATTTTTAGGTAAAAAAAGATATCATGCAAAATCCATTGTTTCCCCACACTTCAGTGCTATGTGGTAGAAAAGCAATTTCTTTTTTGTTTAAAAACAGCATTAAAATTATGTTACTGAGCAACAGTCCTTAATGAAACTATATTAATGAGCAATAAACACTGTCTTGATACCACAATCCTTTAAAACACATTTGAAGACAAAGTTTCTTTTCAAGCCAACCCTGGGTAAAGCAGCTTCCCCTTTTTCAGCCAGGCAGCCCCAGAGCGGAAGCTGCTGCCCGGAACAGAGAAGGGAAAGGAAAAAAGTACTTCATGCAGCACTTGCTCTGTGCAGTGTCCAGCAGGGCACTTTGGCAAAGCCTGTTGTTTGTGCAGCCCTCAGGAACTCAGCTCTCTTGGAGAAGTTCTGGGAGCTCCGGCCTTGGAGGAGCTGGTGACCCACAGGAGCAGCTTTTGGGTGTTCCTGGTGCACAGGACATGCAGAGGGATCCCAGGGAGCAGCTCATGACTCTCCTCACTGCTGGTCCCACCTCGCCATCCTGCCCAAATTCCTCAGCCATCCAAGGCAAGCAGTGAAGCTCTGCTCTCCCCCAGAGAGTGGCACTCAGGCCCAGAAGGGTGTGCTGCCCTTTGGGACACAGAGATGCCATAACCCAGCTCTGACTCGTTCACTGCCCTGCTCAGACACAAATAATGTGTCACAGCCCATAAAACAGTGAGTCATGACCCAGCTCCAACTTGTTCACTCCATTGCTCACAGCACACTAATGCAAGGCAGACTGAGGCTTACAGGAAAGGAGTTTGAGCAGTGTAGTATAGCACTCCCCTCTCCTGCATTTTAATTGTAACATAGGTATTTATTGTACAACAGGTATTTTAATAAGCCTTCATTACTACAGAGCTAGGATTTACGGTGGTTCAGCTGCTCAAATTTTATTCAAGACTTTTTCAGCATCTGGACACCTTATAATATTTTTAAATTATTACATTTTATATGTATAAAAAAACCAAAACAACATTCCAGCTTACGTTCTCTATGACAAACATCCATTCCTTGTCTTCAAACTCTTCAGCGTGGGGATCCTAGAAAAACAAACCAGAGAATTTGAGTCTAAAAATAATCCAGGATGCAAGAGGCTGCAAAACAGCCATGATTTTCATATACTCTGATTTATTTTTACCCACAGAAGATGCCAGAGAGAAATATTTAGCTAGGATGGAGGCTTTATGGGATGTCCATTATATGATGAACAAGTTGGAGTAAAACTGCCAGTGAGGATTTAATAGAGACTCCTAAAAATACAAACTTGAGGTTGATACTGATGAAGCCTGTAATTCTGTTTCCTTTCATCCAGTGGAAAAAAAAAGGATAAATCTCTCTTTAATTCTCAAGTTCCACCTCCCAAATAAACAAACCAAATCCAAATCTTGCAGACAACAGTGGAGGGAGCCACTTGCTTCCACCAGGAGTGAGAAGATGCACACCCCACCCTCCCCAGGCCCAGACTCTGTGGGCACAAGCAGAGATCCAGTCACAGCTTCAGCACAGCACCTCCTTCCACTGCAGATTTCTTAAATACTTACCCTGAGTTCACAACATTTCTATGGTATCACATGTGAGGATCAGAAAACATTTTCACCAACAGGAAGAAAAATAACAATGAAGTTCATATATTTGGCGCTTTTTTTTTTTAATTTAATGAGCTTTCAGTCTGCTGGAGTGGTCTGTATTGTTGTTGTCTGAAAGCAGAATAACACTGGAGAAGGCAGTAAGTCATTCCTATCAAGCCTCTATCAAGGATCCCACTTTAAACAAAATACTTTCTTTTTTATAATTAGTCATCCAGTCCAAGTTCTGAACAACTGCAGCAAGACTTCTACTCTTGCAAAATAGATTCTCACACTAAGAGAATGTGTCTTGAGTCTTTCCTTTTATATGAAACCTGCTTTTGCTATACCTCAATCCTATCCTATTATTTCTAGTTACAGGAAAATATTCAATTACTCCTTTGTCCCTGATGTTTGCACTCTGGAGATAAATGTCACTTCCATATCATCAGCATTTCCCAACACCATACATGAGACCCTTCAGCATCTGAGTTTTCTTGCTACTATTTGGCAACTGGTCCTGACACTACAGCAAGCCTGACAATTCCATCTTGCTGCTCTAAATTAACAAAATGCATCAAGAGAATTTGCTCCCATTTTATATCCATTAGTACCATCCTTTTTTTTTTCCCAGAATGCTACAAGCCTCACATTTAATCTTCTTGACTCACCTAACCTTAGTCTTTGCTTTAATCCTTGTTTCACTTCAGTTTTGTTTTGAAGTCAGACAGTAGACAGAGGTACTGTACCACTTTTTAACTAGTTCTCTTTGAATACACAAAATATTTTCTAAGTACCAAGCTTATAGCACCAACAACCAGAGAGAAGTTGTTGTTTGGGTTTTTTTTTAATTTTTCCAGGACACAAAAACTCAGGAAGGGTGCTCTTAAATAAATCTCCTCTTTGGAGGAACTACAATAACACCTCTAGGAGGAGATTATCCCATCCCCTCCTGTGCATCCTTCCTCCAAAACCCAGCCAAGTGAGTTTCCCACACAGCCTCCCTGTAAAACACTATCAGTGAAAGAATATAAGATGTTGCTAAAAACTTATGTCAAAACTGATGGTTCATTTTTATACATGAGTAAATCTTTTAAGAGGTTTTTTAAAAAATAGACTAATTTAAATACTGCACATGAGTGTCAAAACATGCTGTACCAGTAACCATATGGACAGAAGGGCAAGAAGATGCATACAAAATTATACTGAGGTATCTCCATGTTCCAATTAATGTCTTGTAAATATCAGATTATGTAATTATATCTCCTCACATTAATCAGGTTTGTGGAATTCTGCATTATGTAAATAAAGCACAATACCTGTGGGTTTGGTGTATACCATATAAATTCTACAGATGTAACTAACTTTCTGTAATCCAACTATTAAATACTTAAAATTTTTAAGAGTTAACCTGGGGCAATTACCTTTCTGTTTAATTGCTTCCTTTGATACAGCATGAAATGACATAATGAGATTTAATGGGATCATTAACCACTTTATGTTTTAATAAGCTACTCCATAACAAGTGACTCAACTCTTAAATATTTCATCCTGCTCAATTTTTTCCCCTACCTCCCCCAAAAGCTATTAGGACAAGCTTGCAGGCTGACCTAAAACTGCTTCCAAAGTCAGGGTCCAATATTTTATCCCATGTAACAAACAAAACATTCCTTGTTTTGTTTCTGCAAGGCAATCATCTATAAAGCCAAACCAAGCTCTCTGTCAGTGGCAATAAAACTCACACCTCTGAGGGCTACAGAACCAGGTGCTCTGCTGAGTATTTCTGATCATCTGACAGAGCAAAATAACACTGTGTAATGCAAAGACTCCTTCATGTTCAACATTTTAGCATACACTTGAAAGCAAGTTGTGAACACTTCAGGAAGATAAATGCAGTGTATTGCCCCAAAACAGCCCTTAAAAGCTTAAAGGACTTCTCTAATGAAGAGCCTTACCAAATGTTCAGAGAGTATGAAATATGCTGATATATGAACACTTTGCATATGTGTCAGATATTTCAGATTTAAAGGCAAACCCAGATTTTTTTTAAAGCCATATTTTTTGTCACTTTTAAAATGTCTTCAGAAAGAGAAAACCCTGAATAATTTTTTAATACATAAGCCTCAGCATTTCCTTTCAACAGACACATAAGTGGCTTCACTCTTTCACTAAAATGCTTTTATCAGAAACCCAAGGAGCAGCACAGAGAGTCCTATTTCTAATTAACTTACAACTTTATTAAGTGGTCACGTAAACAGATACTTGTATGATTATAGTTATAACACAGTTTCTTGTATGATTACAGTTATAACACAGTTTCTATTGTAAACAACATGTTACATTTGGGGCTAACATTTCCTCATGTAGTCTCCATTACAGGTGTTGTTTTTATAAATCTGGCTAATCTTTAATCTTCTTTTGGATTTGAAGACAGTAAATACCAGTAAAAAAAACCACCACAACACCAAATACTTCCCTCACTGGGTAATCTATATTCTCCATTCATTCCCCACATAAAACTCATGTGATGTACTTAGCAAACTGTTATTTGAGGACTATAGCATTGGTAACTGTATTTTAGGAAAAAAATGCTATTCCAAAAAGAATAACTCTGGGAGTAATGGTTTTAGCAGCCTTTGGAATGCTCTAATTCTGTATGAAAGCCCTCTCTGGTAACAGGGCACACAAAACCTCACCTCACCTGCAAGCAGATACAAGCAGGGAATACCTAAAGTCAAGAGTTATAAACAGACCTCATTCCCATTTCCTAAAAGCAAATAATGAAAATTACCCAAAAAGATCAAGGAACAAATTGCATCAATCTCACTGTAATATGAGGGGAGCTGACAAGATTTTTTTTTTTTTGATATTGCATATTTGCTTCACCAGTGTACCCCAGATGCAGAACTACACTCCATCCAACATTCACTATGGTCTCACCATTAACTCAGAACTGTAAGTGTTAGGGCAAATGGATCGAACAGCTTGTTGTTCCTCCTCATTTTTCTATGTTAAAAAACAATCATCATTTTCAGTACCAAGACAGTTGTCTCAGTTTAATGTTCCTTTCCAGCATCTTTAACTAAGTTTTAGAGCCTTTTTCCTCTACCCTTCTTTCCTCTCTTTTTTGTCTCATAAGATGACCTTAATACCAAAAGTAATACTCAGGTAAGAAGAAAATAGTAGGGAACTGTGCAAGAGACAGGACATCAGCTTTTCTTTGCAATCCCACCCCTTAGCTTCTTTCTGTGACACCATTCTGCCCATCCACATGACAACTACCCAAAAAGTCAACTCTTCTGGGCTTAGGAAGAGCAAAGGATATGTCAGACACATTTTTCTGTTTTGTGTGGATCAGCCCATCCTAAACCCATTCTTGCCAAGGACAAGATCCTTTCTGCAGAGTACAAAGTGGTTTCAGATGACTGAAGGTAAACCTTCTCCAACAATTCAGGTTATATTCACATTTTCTTTTGTATTTCTTGTAATTGGAACAAAGGACATAGCAGGGGACTGCTGCTTTTCCTAATCAGCAGCCAGGGTGGGTAGGGAAGATGTTCAGCCTGTTAGTCCCTTCCTCCCTTCCTTCCCTGTGCCTCCTCCCTAAGCACTCCTGGTTTTTGAAGCTTGTCTTTCAATTAGATCACTTCATACCAGCCCTAATCTTCAGTCTTTCTTCTTGGGGAATAACTGCTTAAGGACTGTCACAGTGAATCACATCAAACACTGACAGGGTGTGTGATCTCCCTTCACCAGTGACCTGCAGCAGATGCTCTGGCTTCTCCAGCATCTGTCCTCAGCTTTTGTACTTGCCTGCTTGAAACTGCACAAGACTCAAAATTTGACCCAATTCTTGTTGCTTTCAATGCCGATTACAGAGGTCTGATTAGTCTAGAAAATCACATACAACTGTGATCAGCTTTAATTGGAGCTGCCAGAAAGCAGGGAGCTCTGGGGAGACTGGCAGAAACATCCCTGTGCATCACCACACCAAGCTCACACCTTCCAGTAAAGCCTCTGGGCTAGAAAGGCAACAAGCACCAAATGTCCTTTCTTTTTTTTTTTCTTATCTTTTAAAAATTAGTCCCCCACTAATCCTTTAAGTTTTTAACCATTTAATTTTTTGATGTGCAAATGTGCTTACTTTCCAAACTTATGATTTTTATATCTGACACACAACACTGCCTCTGGAACTGGTTTCCACTCCTATGGAGTATTCTCCATAGTGTCTGCTCAAGCCCCTGCTCTGAAGTGAAATAAGTATGCTCTGAACCTGAACTTGGTCTTGACTTAAGAGAAACGGCTTTATGAAGAGGTTTTGGACTGATTTGAGTTCTTTTTTTTTCTCCTCTGAGATAGCACATTGGCTTTCATGCAGTGATCCTGCTACAGCGTGGCCAGTTGTTATTCTATAAAATCAAAGCATGACTGACTTGGGCTTTCAAGAAGAATTATAGGGATTTTTTCCGAGTAATATGTGGAAACAGGAATTCTTTCAACTACACAAGTATGCCTTGATCAATCTATTTGATTTTTATTTTCCTTATAATTATTTTTTGTGTGCTTAGAAAGCTATGCCTTTAAAAATGTCATTTTCAAACCTTGGAATTAAGAGCTGGTAATGGTCCCTGCTGTTGAAATGGTACATTGGTGTGATAAACCATGTACATTGCTGACAAAACAAGTGTTTCGGGTAATCTAATGAAGCAAAGTCCATGCTTACTCCTGAAGAACAAACATTTTTGAACAGGAAGTCACTTTGTTTTCAAGCTAGAAAATAATTATGTTGCAATTTAAATCCTCATAGTACAACTGATGTTCATTTAGCTTTACTAAAAGCTTGCTTGGCAGTGAAAATTTCTGGTTTAAAATCTCTCTCAGCTGCAAAAGATTTGTGTTTGTATATAAACCTACAGAAAAGTATAGAAGTGGTAGTTAAACTTTGCTAATGCAGGGACTCTAAAAATTTAACTTCTGGAGCACAGCCATGGTAACAAAACAAAAAGAAGTGGGAATTCAGCTCTGGCTTTTCTGGCATTTGTGAATCTTTCCATGAAAGCACTACAAATTATGGATTTTAAATGCACAATAGGCTTATTGTTTCATGATGTTTCTTTCTCCCCCAGTTTGGTTGAAAAAAACCCAAGACATAACTACACATCAGTGTGGAGCTCAGCAAAGGAAGAAGTTAAAGTTTCAGAACAAATGGAACTTTTTATGTAACTAGCACTTCAGTGGCTGGATGGGCAGGAGCTGCAGCTAATCAAGGGAAGCTGAATCAATATATCCATATGATGCTTTTCCACACATGACTCCAGGGCATTATGAAATTTTACCAGCAGCCCAGAATTAATTGAAACAAACAAACAAACAAAAAAGCTTACATTTACTTGAAATTGAAGTCATTGAAAGGAAGGCTGTAATCTCTTCAGTACTTTGCTTGTGCAAGAATTACAAATATGCTGTTGTAAGCAAGGTAACACCCAAAGTAGGGCTGTGCAGATAATGCAGAATATCTCATCTGTTGACTGATCACAGGGACTTTGCTTAGCCAGCTCTCAAGTGTCCACACTGACTACTGGAGAGAAGACTCTTAACATTCTCATCAGCACTTGAAACCTTGACTTATCTCCTAATCCTACCAGCAACACATTTCAACAGCCACTTACGAATGCGCTGCCACTACTGTGTGAATCATTTCCCACAACACATAGCTGTCTGTCTGGAGCCCACTCCTTCCATTCCCAGCAGCACCACTACACTCATTTGTTATCTGTGATTGCTGCACAGCTCTGTGGGAGAGCCAGCTCCCAGCTCTGGGCTCTGCCAGGGTGGACACGGAGGCAGCAGCTCTCTGAGCTTCTCGGGGTGGTGAAAGCGAGCAGCTCCTGTTTGTCAAACACGGCCAGGCTCAGTGTGGGCACTGCAAAGTGCCAAACCTTCAGCAATCACCCTCCTTTGCAGGGAATTGGCTCCAAAAAGGATTTTTACAGGACTGCAAGATGAGCAGCCTCTTTTTCTGAGCTTTACTGTTTTCAGTCTTTTTGTCCTCTTTCTTCTAGAGGAAGGAACAATACAAGAACCCCGTTCCCAAGTCAGCTGGCAGGCTGCAGAGTGCCACCACATACTTCCCTTCCCACTGCTCCAGTGCTGCCAAGACAATGCAGCAGCTGCGGGACAAACAGCCACTTCTTTTGGACTGCCTCTGCCCAGAACCTACCAGCTACAGAAATGCCAGCTCTGTGGGTGCTGGGACAAGTCCTGTGCTGCAGCTGAAGCACCACAGAGCCAACAAAGCCATCAGGGGACTGGGCACAGCCTGAGCTGGCCAACACCATCTCCTGCCTGCAGTCCCCTGGCCCTGAGAGCTGGCTCAGGCAGGCCAGGCTGCTGCTCTCACACAGCTACAGCGCTCCTGGGCATCACACAGCTCGCTCAACCAGCTGCACTGTGCCCCACGGGCATTCCCTCACAGAGAACAAGGGGTGTTTGGCCACTCACAGGCACTCCTGTTAGAAGAACTGGAGGATCAATTAGAGCAGATTTTACAGTAAGAGCTGCCTCACAGTGTGATGGTTCTCAATATTTTGATTATTAATCCAATGCTCATTTCCCCAGAGACCAGTGGATACCACTTACAGAAGGCACAGCTGCTGGGGTTAGTCACAATCCTACCTCTCCTCCCAGACCAACTCTTGTGACAGGCAGGCTCATTTTTTGGGGGGAAAAAGAAGTCCAGTGAACAGATCTGCCTGCAGAATTAGTGCTGGGTAAAATTAAGCTTTTGTAATACCTGACACTGGCTCCAGAGGCCCTTCCATCCCTCACTAGATAATCCTACCTTCAGTCTCAGTTACACAACTAACAAGGTTGCTGTGCTGTTCTACATAACAGAATCCTGAAGCAGTACAAGTGTAAGCAAAAAGATGGGATGGCAAAAGAAGGCTGAAAGACACTTTCACTCTAAAGCCACAGTATCACATAGCTGCACCAAAGAGAAACTTTATTTCTCATCCTTCATATAACATCGTAATCTCAATCAAGATTTCTGTACGTTTCTGCTTCACTTTAAATGTTGAAAATATCAAGCAACATTTACAGTGCTGCATAACCATGTTCAGGTTGTGCAGACATGTGGCATTGCCACATAATGGTGACAAGTTCCTTAGTCCAAGTAGAGGTCCTTGAAGCAAACAATTTTTGGTAGCGAACTTTTAAATCTCAGTTGGAGACTACATGTTTGCTAAGAAAGGAAACAAGTTTATGATAGTTTATGATCACTGTCAAACTGAGAAGTTTGTGCTCATGAGTAATCCCACAGGCAGGAATTTTTAAAAAAGGCTGGGGGGAAGACAACCCTCTTTTTTTAGATTTAATGAACCAAGTAATAAATTCCCATTCTAAGGCTAATCAGAAGCCAACTCCAAGCTCAGGAAAGTCCCCAAGACCAAGAAATACAAATATTACTAATTAGAAAGAAGTATGTTGCTGTTTCCCTAGGCTGCAAAGGGAGCAGTCAGAAATAAGAACAGCCAGAATGTAGATGAAGGCACCAGAGTAAAGAACGAGGAAGAACTATGGAATGAAAATCCCAGAAATCTTCAGCCTCCTACATTGTCACACATGCAAAGCTGCATTGTTTATGCAGAAAGGGTCTTGCCCAATGATATTTGGGAAATAAGTTCTAGCATAACTATCACTTCCTCCTCCTACTTCACAGACACACAAATAAGTTTTTTTTTTAGTAGAACAAATGCAATTCAAAAAATAAAAAATTCCCTGTACAATCTTATAATTCTCTGTACAACTCAAATACTGCACATCCACATCTACAGCTGCAATCACATCAGGGCTGTGGTGTTTGTGTAGCATTCTGAATAATGGTAAGTGAGGAGCTGGATTCTGCTGCAGCAATAGCATGCACTGAAACCCTGAAACTGAACAAGGAAGTCTAGAAATTACTGTGTTATGGCAATTTCTCCCTTCCAGTATTTAAAGGAAAGCTACCAGGCTGTAAGCCATGCCAAGTCCTTACACATGTACTACGTGCACAGTTACACATGTGCTGGACTCTGTGCCAATGGCTCACCATAAGCAGCTCAGTGGGTATTTCTGTGCGTTAACTAAACTACAGAAGTCAGCTTTGGCAGGGAACAGACCATCCCTCTCACCCAGATCTGAACTGAGGACATAAGGCTGGGCAGTTAATGACATAAAACCAGCAAGATTAGACCTTGTGACTATAATCTGACATTTCCAGACAGAAATTTTCATGTGTTGTTTAGGAAATATAAAGATTATGCCTCAAAGAAAACATACCTTGAAGAGAGTCACAGTAATTTCAACATTTTCAGGTACAGGCCACACCACCAACCCACGGTATGGGTTCTTGATTCCAGGCTGCCAGCTGTGTGCCTAAAGGAAGAAAAATACCCATTAGAAAAGTGCTGACTTGACTCCCACAGGACCCAGGGCATGCAGGTAAAAGTAACATAGCACTGACTCCAAAAAGGCACATCCCTAAACCCATGATTCTTCTGAACACTTCAAAGGACACAATTAAGAATGACAGTAAGGAAACTCAGACCACTAGCAACCTTTTCCATTGAACTAAAGCTGTTCCTCACAGGTTCCTAAATTCAGCTTTTTTATTACATAGCACAGGTCAGGACACTCAGAGCCTTGCAAAAATTAAGGCTTGTAGGGTCAGAACTTCTGTAGCAAGCTGAGCTTTATTTTGGGTACAACACATAGTGCAGGTCTAATCGCATTTACACATAAATGGAACAAGACATTGTACTCGAGGAAAGTGAAAACAATGATTTTTAATGCTACTAAAACATTTAAATTTTTAAGAATTAATAAGCTGGAGTACCAACATCTAGAAAACATAACAAAAAACCCAACAGTTAAATAGACTGAGAACCTGCCTACCTTTGAGCATCAGTTTGGATTAGTGCATGGCCTGTATTTACATTTTAACAGCTAGTCCCAGAAAACACCGTGTGTGAGCATTTCTGCTCTGGTTTGGACTAAGTATGCCTTTTTCCAAGCTCAACCTAATCTGCTTTGTGATGCTCTAAGACAAATGAGGGAAGGATGCTGCTGTAGAATTGACAGCTACAGAACCAGGGTGTTATTAGAAACATCTGGAAGTTTTATCAGGAAAGACTGTACAATCTGTTTACTGTTACCTGAAGCCAATTAACTTGGCTATTTTTCTATTTTCTTTTAATTCTAGAGCATCACTCATTGCAATTTTATACTCCTTCCAACACGCAGAACTTCAGATTCAGACTGTCTATTAGAACACATTTTTGCTTTAATAAGGTTAGCAGGACCTGTGACTCAGGTTTTCTGGGACCTTAAGGTAACCTGGGTAACTTTAAGGATGACTTTGCTGTACCAAAGTGGGAAAGACAAAGCTGGAGAAGCAGTGCCATCCCTTTAGGGCAGCAGCTCTCTGCCACAGTAGTAGGGAGTGCCAAATGTTGCCAGCTCTCCTTTGGTTCTATCACAAATTTTTTTCTCTTTGATGTTCTGCCTGAAACCCCAGCTCCCAAAGATGCCTAATTAGATCAGATTTTTCAGGGAGTGTCTGTGCTTTGTGTTTGCAGAGAGGCAACTTGGAGCTTCTAAAAAAAGGGAATTTTAAAATAAGAGCAACTTGAAAGAAGCCAATTTCTACTGGTTTTACTCCACGAATTCCAGTCTAATCTCCTCATTCTAAAGAAGGCCTGGATGTATTTTCTGAATAACAGAGCAAACAACAACAGATAACAAAAACAAAACATCTTTTACAAGCAAAAGGTATTTTGTGAGCAGCCAAACACAGCACAGCAGATGCCATTACTAGCACAGACCCTGGAGCTGCAGTTTGTGCTCTGTCCCACAGAACCCACAGCCCCCTGCCTCACTCCCAGCTTGCCCACAGAGATCCTCAGCAGACACGAGGCAGTGATCCAGAGCCAGGCACAAGCTCATCTGCCATGTCCCCTGGGAGCACCTTGTAAAATCAATAACCTCTCCTCCATAGGGGCACTCCATCCTCTTTCCAGGTACCAGTTTGCACAAAAATAATTGGAGCTCATGGTGTGTCTGAAACCTGTGCTTTCCTGCTGGGTTTGGCCAATACTGAAAATTATGTCAAACTTTTGCTGTCCAAGGTCCAGGCACTGCCAGCCTGCTCAGCTGAGGATCACTTGTTCCATCTATTAAAAAAGCCTAGAAAATGAGCATTCACTGGTGCAGTCACCACTTCACTTCAAGCCCTTTATCAGCATTTCCTCCCACCAGGAAAGTCAGCGAGACACAATAAACACACAGGGATATAGATGTTTTTCTGTCACTGAAAGCAACAACCAGGAGACAAGTTCTAACTAATGAGCTTTTAAAGCAAAGCTGCTCTGTGATCATGAATGTTATCAAGTCCTCCTCTGGCTTTGAAAAATAAACACTGTATCACATAAACAGCATGACAGTAAAAGATAGCATCAAAAGAACTGTCTGGGTTGTTGGGAAGGAGAAATGGAAAGGGGAAAGCAAATCCAGAGAAACACAGAGGACTGGCAAATGACAGTAATTTAAAATTAAGATGCAGAGTGTTATTCTAATGCAACATTTCTCATGCCAGGCACCTCTACGCTGCAGTTTCTTCAAGTTACATCTGGCCTATATTAAAAACTTTTTCAACTCCCAGATTATAAGCCTTGACTTGGAGCTGGATCAGGCCACCGCTGCAGGTGACAAGAACTCGCTGTCAGGGCTCAGCCAAGGAGATGCTGCAGCTGCACAATACATTTCCACCTAATCCCCTCCTTAACTCCATTTTCCATCAGGTGCTTGTCCCTTTAGACCCACTTCTTCCTCATTTGCTACAGGTCTTCACCAGCCATCTCCCATTGTCCTGGAAGTCAAGGCAAGGGCAGCTAAGCAGAAGTGACTTCCAGCAGCAGGTGCCTCACCCACAGCCCTGCCCTGGCCTGACTTGGCTCCAGACCGGAGGGATGGGAGCCACGGTCTGGAAAGAGAAGCAGAAATGCTTTGCTGCATTTCAATGCAAAAAGCAACTCTTTCTTTTTTCTGCCAGTGGAAGATGAGAGAAAACAACATAGCATGAAAGCTCTTTTAAATCTGGAAACAGGAGCTACAGGATGGGCTGCTGAAATCTCCTATAAATAGACTAGGGCTGTGAATGACATTGTCCAACCTACAGCATTGCTCTGGCACAAAACTGATGACTGGGAGAGGAGGAAATCTCTTAGAGGCAGTGGAGATGAGCCTACAAAACTCGCACGGGCACTTCAGGCTATCCATTTTTCTCTTTAAAACAACAGTTCCAATCCCGTTCCAATCCAGGCAGCCAGCTTTGCAATCCACCACCTGTGATGTGAACATCACTGCTGTTTTGCTGTGCTTGAACTGGAATGACAGACTTGATACTACATTATTTCAGGAACCTGCCCTTTCAGATGCTTCATCTCTTTTCTGCTTTCTTCACTTCCACCTTGCCTCATCCTGTTGTGCAGGATAATTTCATGTTACTTTTCTGCAAGATGCTGGAGCTGACCATAATATTTTGAGCCCGCTGTAACTTATGGAACAGTTTATATTTATGAATAAAAAATATGTTCTTATTGCCAAGCTGTCAATATTGGGTTTTAAAAGCAAAACTCATCTGAAACAGACCTACGATTATTCCTCACCTGCAGCCACAAGAGTGGCTTTATTGTGAGCCAGCAAACTGCTGATTTTCTTTTCCTTATAAATTTTTTGCCAGCTGCCTGTGATCAGGCCAGCTCTGCTACTTGTCGGTGTGACAGGCTCTTCAGGGCACAAGAAGCAAGCAGGAGCTCAACTGGCTCCAGTAGTGCTTAGGGCAGCTCAGCTTGTAAGGATAATCCCTCTTCTTCAGTGTTATCCAGGCAGAACACTTAGACAGAAAAGGAAAAAAAAAAAAAAAAGAACTCAAGAGGAAGAGCTGACATTAAGCAGCCAGATCCTTCATCTGGTGCCTCCACGCCAGGAGTGTGGCTTTGGAACATTGGAACACCAAGGATTTGCTCCATGTGATGCATCCCACCAAAGTCATTCACCATCCAAGACAGCCAGAGCTGTACATGGCTGTTAATGGACCTACTGGAAAAAGAATGGACTGGGAAAAGCTGGCAGTTCCCTCACACCAGAGGAAACCAGCAGCTTGTGAATGGCTTCTTCTTGTTCTTCTGTAACTCAGTGTCACAAAGGGAGACAAATTAAAGGCCATGCTCCAGACTACAGCTTGCATCCCCCCATGATCATCTTGAAATCCCTGTGCTTGGCCCACCAGCTAAAAAGGCTGGGCACCAGAACAACGCTCCAGTCACACTCATGCCTTGGGATGCCGTCCAAAAAACCCAGGACGTGCCAAAGAAGGAAGTTCAAAGCCCTGGAAACTGCAGGCAGCCTTTGATCAACACACTGCTGTCAGTGCCCCCTTAGAGCAGACAAGGAAAGCAGGGGATCCCCACAGGTCTCCCCATGAATGTCTCAATTCACCGGCAGGCACACGGGTTACAGCTGTGCACATGTGTAAAGCTACAGAAACACTGCCGAGCTTGGGGAACCAGCAAAAACTCATCTCCACCACAGCTTCTCTCAGACTGGGCTACCTCTTCAAGCTTGATTTCAAACATCCACATTCATGACATACAGGATGAATACATCATGAATTAAATACATGAATCATGCTATTTGGTTCACCAGATCTTGCCTTATTCACCATTCACAGTAGATGATGCCCAGGTAAAGAGCCTCTTCCCTGTCTCTTCAATCAGTTTCTCACATCATCTATAGGGTTTCTTATTAGAAAAGTAAAACAACCAACCAAATAAAAAAAGCAAAGCCCAGACAAACAAAAAAGCCTGAATACAGAGTTATTTTTCTCATTATTATCTGAAACAACCATCACTGCACCTCAGAATGTCACCACAAGTCAACTTTGTGGGACTCCCAGGAAAAAAAAAAAAAAGAGTATTAACAACCTCCAATTTACAGTCAGGGATTATAATCACAGCATGATCTTGTAAATAACTTCACTAAAAAACTGAGAAGTTCTGGGAGTGGCATTACGAACTGTGTTGGTCCCAGACAGACATCAGCATGTCAGGGACACAACATGCCTTTGGAACTGCAGCCCAGCAGGGACAGGCAGGGCTGGCATGGGGCAATAAAGCAGCCAGAAAAGGCAACAGATTGCCAAAACCAGCAAAACAGGTGACCCAGGTGCTGCTCTATTGATGGCAGAACCTTGGAAAAATGCTGGCCAGACTGCTGTTGAGCACAAGAGATTCCTTTTTCTCCCTGTCCCTTTGCCTCTCTTGGCTCTTACTTCTCACTGCCCAAGTTCTTTCCCTTTTCTCAGCATTGTTCCTTCTCCTTTGTGCTTAAACAGTTTTTGATAAACCTGCAAGAGAAGTGCTGAAATCACAGGCAAGGCCCCTTCTTTCAGCTTTGATACAGAAAGAGTCTTTGAGAATAATTCTGCTAGGCTCTCAGAAGCAAGTGCAAATTTGATTCTTCAGAGGTGTATAATTCAACCATAAGCCTCTGCATGTTCACAGGAATAGTAGAAAGTACCTCCTTGACATCACGGCAACAGCTGTTTTCACATTGAAATTTCTTAGTTCAAAGCCTGGAAATTTGAGAGCATCTCAGTGAAATGAAGGCAATTGTATTTTCAACACGTTTTTCCCTTGCTCTACTCTACAACAAAGACATTCTACCACCACTCAAAAAAAAACAAACAAAAAAAGCCCAAGGCCTGAAACCTGGGCAGGCAACTTTCCAGTGTGCCAGGGTACTGAAGAAGAGTTAAACCTGTCCACAGCTACAAGCTGCACCTTCTGTAAACCATGATGCTGAACAGCATCTAAATAAAGCTTGAAGAGTGCATCTGATTTTGCAAACAGACAACATTTGCACCTACAGACAGGCGACTCCCACCCTTCCCAAGCTGAAAGTTCATTTTGGTTCTAGGACTGCACAGCAATTCTGCCAAGCACAGCAAAACTGCAAATCACCATTTAATGTAAACTCCTGGCACACACAGTGGAGATGCCCAACCACACAGAGCCACCTTGTCCTGACACATCTCATGAAATATATTGAAATTACACTTGCCCATGGAGAGCAGGGCCCAAAATAGAACTGTAAGTAACTTAAATCTGCATTAAGGTCAGTAACTGCTGGATGTATTTATGGTCTTGTATCCATCCACCCCTCAGACTGCTATTTATATGCTCTTTCAAAATGAGTGTTTGCTTTTCATTTGCAACACTTTGAAACTCACTGTAATTCAACATATCTACAACTCCTATTCTGTGTTTCCCACAGTAAGAAGAAAAATAATCAGACTCCTGCACATAATGCCTCTTATTATTTCTTTTAATAAAGGAACCACTGTAGCTTATTTGGAAAAAGAGCATGTGGGGCAGGAAGCATATGAAAATCATGGAAACCCACAAAAACAAGGGCTTCAAAGGACATCAAGAACTCAGCTTTCAGCTCAATGGCATTTTAAAATTGTATCAGTTAGAGCAGGCATCCCAGTGCTCATCCAGAGCTCCATCTTCCAGTCGCACGACATTTTTGTTTAATACATCTGCTGTACTTTCCCAGTACAAAAGAGACACAGAGCTACTGGAGAGCATCCAAAGGGCCATGTTTGTGAGCTTGTGAACTGTCTGCTGGTGATATGCCTCATTAATGATCTGAAAAGTTCAAAAAACATAACCTCCAAAAACTCTTCACAACGTCTTTACAGTAAGGTAAAACATCATCCCTCCCTTCCTCCCTCTCAAGAAGCTGAAAACCAGACAATTATTAATGCTTTGTACTCATTGAACCCAGTGTCCACCAAAAATAAAATCAGAGGAAATATTCATTTGACTTGCTTCCAGTAAAGCAATTAGATGAAACAAGTATGTTGAATAAAGTATTTTACTGGCAGGATGACTAAGAGATCAAGAACATTTATTGATCTACAGTTTTTGACCCAAACAGCTCAAGTCACATCAGCTACCAAAGCTTTAAAATTAACCCTATGCCCAAGTTTCAGGGCCACTCAGCCTCTTCCAAAGCACCTTTGTGGGATCTCACCAAACATGACTTAGTCAGCCCAACTTTTCTGAGTCTCAGGCTTAAATCTGCCAGTTTATCCAAGAGCTGCTTCTACTGCCTGGTGACCAAAAATGAGGGCATATCATGGAACTTTATGGCCCAGCTGAAAAAAACCCTTCAAGCCCAAAAGGCTGAGCTAATGCCAGAAAATCCTGTTGCCTCAAGGAAATGCTGTCATTTGGATTCTATAAAATGACAGGCAGAAACAAAGGCATGCTGGACTTCTGTTACAGTTTCTCTTTCTGAAGTATTCTGAACCCCAACAAAGCAGTCATTTATGACAAATACTTTGTTTTTCACCAGTCTTTTCAGAGTCACAAAGCTTGTGCAAGCATTGCACTTAGTGTTTGATATAACTTTTATCTCTCTGTGCAACAGAAACGAAATGAAATTAATACAGAGAAGTTGTCACAGGGTGAGCCACAACAGACATTGGTTACTGACACCAGCACTTACTGCCTACATACACACTGTGCTATAAACTCAAAGGAACTTGGGTTAGTTGATGTTTCAGGAAACAGGAACAGTCTGGCTGGCTTTGCTGAGGAGTATGGGACAGGAACAGGTACCAGACTGAGCTCACACCCTTGTTTACTCATCAGGTAACACTTTTGAGTTTTCATAACCTGAAGCAGAATACTGGATGCACAACATTTAGTTGTGCAGTCAGGAGCCAGTCTTTATCTAAAACAGCCTAGAATAGCTTATACCTCAAGCTGAAAGACAAAATACAACAAATATGCATGACAATCAGAAAAAGAGGTCAGAAAAAAAGGAGTACCAGTAAAAAATAAACCCAAAGCCTCTCCTGAGTAGGGCAGAAAGCCATGTATCACATTTTCTAAATATTTAAGTTCTTCAACACAATTATTTCAAGATATCTTCTCTAACATGAATGCCCTCTCTCCACTATTACAGAGTTCTCTGAAACATCATTTTGTGTTACATGAACACACACAAGAAAAGAAAAAGAAGCTTATATGATCATTTTTTTAACTGAAATGTCAAAGAATTATTGCAACTTCCAAACTTTCCTATCTGACAAGATCATTTGCCATAAATCCAACCAGGCTAAGAGGCCACAGCATGGGGAAAGGCAATGAGGGAACGAGCAAGTAAGCCCAAGTCATCTCAAAGAGAAGAGGAGATGCTCCTGGGAAGGGAGGAAAACAGCATGCACCCCTGTCCCCATGAAAGACAAACTTGATCAGTGTCCAGAGACTGGAGAGACTTCACTCAGAGCTTCCCATTCCTCAGGCTACCAAGTTATTAGTCATGAAACACAAATTTACAGGTTTGCCCACAGTGTTTGCAGAAGATGTAAATATTCACTTCAAAGACACTCTGCTGGGCTGAAAGACCCTGCTTTTATTCTTTTTTATTTGTAGCATTTCAGGTTGTGAAATAGCCTCTTATTCAGGCTTTATCTGCCTATTGCAGGGATGTCAGATTTTTTATTACTTTTTTTTTAATTAGTTGGGGCTTTTTTTCATACACTTCTAGTAGAGAAACCAATTCTCCTTTCTAATTAGGTGTAGCAATTAATAACTGAATTGAACTGATGGTGATACAGTTCTGCTAAACAAATAACCAAAGCTGAAATCAGAGTTAAGAGTTCCCATAAATTAGCACTGACATCAACAGCAGTTTATTCTGAACTTTATGGATAAACTGAATTAAAAAGAAAAGTCAACAACTAAAATACTTCTTACTAATTTATTTGGCTGCTCCCCACATTTAGAAAAACAGTCCCTCAAACCACTGACCCTGTTTGTCACTCAAGTTGGGACTTATTAAGGAATCAACCAACCTTAGAGGATTTTCTTCTGCTTCTTCTTGTCCAAACCACCACTAGTTTATCTGGCTGCCTGTTGAAGATAAGGAAAAAACAGCTTAATATACAAGAAGATCAATGTGTAAACAGTTTATATTAAAACTCTTGCAACAGGTAATGACATCCTTAGTGGGTAACATGCTCTCTTAAAAATAGCTCATCTAAAAACCACTCTCAGCACCAGCCATTTAACAGGAAAAATAACGTGTATTTATAGAGACAGGTTGTCCTCCAGTCCACCCAGTAATGTCATCATTATCCTCCTGCTCTCCTCGCCTGTGGATGTTTCCCCAGAGCCAGCAGCACATGTGAGCAGAAACTCTTCCATGGGGCAGAGAACAGGATCCAGACTCACAGACACCCTGGACACATTCCAGTACCCAAAATAAACATTAATGCAAATTCCAGCTTTAATTTCTATGCAGATATATTGAAAAGTTACATCTAAGTAACAAAGAAAGCAGGTAATTTCACTTTTTCTTACACAAAGGATTATTTTTCTACTTGAACAACATAAAGAACAAGACAATCAAGTCCTGTATTACTCCTCAAAATCTCCTTGGACAATGACAGGTAAATCAGCACTTCCTCAACTTATACTCCAAAGGACAAACTGAAAATCAGTGTGGTTTCCCAAGCAATTGTTCGTTTGGTATTTGCAATGAATGTAGATGGAAACCTCAATAAACAACCCTTCCAGTACAAATTATTTTCTCTTCAAATTTCCTAGGAGTTATTTATTGGTTAACAGTTTACCGTTATTATATCTGCCTTATTAGTTTTACAGTTGTGTCTGAGTGATTTTTGATACTGACTTAACTTCCAGACTTCCCATCCTCCCCCCATGATACACTTAAGTCCCATTGTATGATGACCACACTTCTGGTCCCACTTCCAGACCTGCAACCCTCTTGTGCAGACTCCTGACACCATTCCAGCTTTGTTTTCTGGCTGATGACCTGAATTCCATCATGAAGCCCAGCTCTAAATCCACCCACAAAGGACTTTCAATGGAGTCCACATCTCCACTTAAAAATACTAAACCTGCATATGCAACTCTGCCTGGAAAAAAATTGTTACTCAGATTTTTGAGACACCAGTGTAAGAATCCTCGCATTTCTAAAGCCAACAGCAAAACAAATCAGAGTGGGGGAACATGGGTGTAGCCAAGAAAAAGTCAAAAAACAATACATTCAAATCATTATTAAAAATGCACCCAAAATCCCCCACACAAATATTCTGAGTAAAGGCAGTATTCCCACTGCTATTTCATCACAGGCAGACTACCTACTTAATAACTAACTTTGCAAATGAAACCCCAACTGGTTTAATAATCATTTTAGGCACTGAAGTGCTGGCCATATTTCCTTTCATACATACTTTTCCATTGAGCTGTTGATCATTTCTGCATGTTACAATAAAAGCAATACCTCACCCATGATTCACACTTAAACCCCACCAGAACTAAAGCTCTCCCAAAAAACCGAGCTACAGGCAGATCCTGCAAAGGAAATGAGGACACAAGATTTGTTGGGCTTGTTTTTTATTTTTAATTGAAAGTGAAATAATCTGTATTTTAAAGTGTAAATTCACTCATTCTGTTGGACTTCAAAGCTCTTTGCTCACTTGGTGGTGGATTCTCATCTTTGGCTTAGAGCAGCACCAGCCCCTTTGATGGGAACTGTATTTGTGGCACCAGGGAAAAACAACACACCCCTAAGCAAAGCAATCCAAACCCACGCCAGCAACATTTCCCAGTCCTGAGGAACTCCCTCTGCCAGGAACATACAGAAAGGCACCAACATGAAAAAGCCAATTAAAGTTTTAATTCAGGCTGAGAGGACCAAGCCATGCTGATGGACAAACAGGAGCACCCTTTGCTCCCCTCACTTCTCTCACCAATATATTTATTTTGTTAAGTACTGAGCACAATTTGTTCCTTCAGCTTCAAGTATGAGAGAAATTCACATCCAGAGGTACTTTACCCAAAAAACCAAAACAACAACAACAAACCAACAGAACCAACCAAAACCAAACAAACAAAAAACCCAAGGAAGGTCACCACAATAGAGAGACAGAAAATTTAGGGAAATGGAACAGGATGAGAAGGGAAGAAAACACCCCAAAGGATGAGTGTCCCCTCTCTGTACACCACATGAAACCTAGCAAAAAGCACAGCAGCTCTTCTGAGGGATTTTCTTCAAGGAAGTCACAAATCCAACAACTCTGAAATATCTTCATAGAACTGTTTGACTAACAAAACCAAGAGCAACCTTTCCTCCCACAATCTGTTCCTTGCTCTCCTATGGCAATATACTTCTAGAAGAAAAAGCCAGCTCATATTTTAATCAGCAATTTTGCATTCAAGGTTATTAATGATATCTCAGTGCTAGGAAATGGCCAATATCACATAATGCACATTGCTAATTGAAAGCATTAGGCAATATTTCCTACTTCAGACTTCTCCCCTCCTTTAACATCATAAATCTCAGCTGCTCATTAGTCAATAACCGAAGCAAACAAAATCACCTCTGAAGAATTAGTCTGGAGACCAGTTTTAGTATCCTTTATGAGTTTACTTATTGCACTCGGATATCATTCCAAATACAAAATCCACAATCACAATGCTGCAAGCTGAACAAATGCGAATGGTCAGCAATAAAAAAATAATAATAATTTCCTGTGCTACACAAATGACATTTCTCATTTCTTTAAACCCAGCAGCTTTCAGTCAGTCACTTATTCAGCAATGCCAGTATGCCTAAAGCAGGAATAACACACTGCTTACCTTAAGAGAATGGATTTGGAGCAGGGGAAGAGAGTTGGGTTTTAGCTGGACACTACATTTCCCCTCTAAGTAACTGCATCAATCCACCAATTCAACACCACTGACCTTTCAGCAGGGTGTTTAATACTGCACTGGAGCCTGCCACCATTGCCTTGGGGTGCTGGGCACTTCCCTGGCAGGGGGAGCCAAAGGAAGGCGTCAGCACTGGCACGTCAGGGACTGCCACTGGGACGAGCACAGATCCAGTGGCAGGGGGTGAAGGATCCAGCCTGGATCCAGAAGATAGCATTTCTAAAAACTTACCATAAACCTGTATTTGGTATTTACTTGTTATTGTGTTGTTCACAAAAAAACTATTCCTGAAGAAAGGCAATTCATAGTAGTAAATTTATTTTATTATTTACAAGTGAAACTTAGCAAAGAAGCAAGGAAGATTGATTTCAAAGTTTGTGGCTCAGAAAAAGAGATTCATCTCTGCCCTGCATACTAAACAATTAAAATGGGATCCAAATTATAAAACACTTTTAATTCAAAACCAAGTCTGCTTTTCCTATTAGATGGAAGCAATGATTTTGGTACATTCCATTTTCCCACTGAAAAAACCAATTTAAAAAATATATATAAATACTAGAATCAAACTTTGCCATATCCACAGCAATTAAATAATGTAATAAAAACTTTCTGCATATTGGAAAAAGCTGTGATCTGATCAGCACCTCATACACTACAAATTTTACTGATTGAAAGGCAGTTGTGCAAGATTCAAGGTCTTCTGCGGGTTGGCCTGACCATTCTAGGAAGTGTTTGGCACAATATTTTGATTACAGAACTCTCCAAACATCACTTGTAAAAGAAGGACATGAAAGGTATCAGTCTCCTGTGAACTCTTGTTTTGTAAACCTTTGAGCAGAAGCTGATAACATTGCCCAGGACATATTTCTCCACTAAACTTACTGTTCAATGACAAAAAGCTGTAGAAGTCTTGGGGTTAGAATCTGTTGCTGGAAAGAACTGCAAATGCACTTAACTTTAATTCAGACCACTGAAGCCAACAGCAAAACCAATGTTGAACAACCTTTTGGTGAAGGGTGGGAAAGCAGGTAACAGGATTTCTTAGGAGAAAGGTACCACTACATTTCATAACACTCAATAACTGTTAAATGCCTGAAATGTACAAGGTACCTTTTCTGTATGTACCCCAGATGGTACAGCCTTGCATGTTTGTTTTGGCATCAAACTGCCTGAGTGTTGGGGTTTGTCTTCTCCTCTCCTTTTCTTTCTTTTTCAGCTGAGCTGTTTTATTTTTACTATGTTTGATTTCAACTGCATTAATTAGTATGGGCTGCTAGATTACTCTTGTGAAGCAAGCTTAAAAGAGTATAATTAATAAGAGAAGCACCAGTGTTAGCACAATAGCATGCAGATGCACCTATTGAAGGATAAAAATAATTACTTAAGGACTAATGTCAAAGTACTTCTGATAAGAATTTTTTTTAATAACCTTTTGTCCCTTCTGCACTGTGCATCCCAGCATGCCATGCACAATTTCCATCCATTAGGGACCAATCCTCCCACTCCCACTAGCACACAGCTTTCTACATGGCTGCTGAAACACCAGCAAAGCTCTCTAATGGTCTCTTAAAAATAAATGTGGTTGTTTCTATAGCACCATTAATTTGGGATGAACGTTGCTTTTCCTCATTTTACAGCTAATTACTTTGAAAAGCACTCTTTACAGTGCAGTCTCCTGCACTAGGTCCTGCCCTATTGCCATGTATTACCATCAGCCAGGGAACTAATCAGGCCATGGCCTTTCACAAGCCTTGTGCTGAGGTTTTTTCCCCTCAGAGTTTCCTGTTGGTCACCATCAATGAAATTTCACAGCTGCATGCAGGAAGTGCAGGCAGATACTGCCAATGCTTTAAACAGGCCCAGAGACACTGGAGGAATGATGTCAGGCATTGATGCATTTGCCAAATGAGCCCTCTTGCTGAGTGCAGGTACAGCACTGATTGCAAGAGCCAGAGACATTAAGAGAATAAAATGCAGTGCAGGTAAAACCCCTCTGAGGTAATTATAAGATGAAGTACATTACAAGAGGAAGTTGTGCAGTTCAGGGGCTTGGGGTCTTCCTCCCCACCTCACCTTAACTTCCATGGTGGAAGTTAAGGACTCCTGGGTAAGGCCTGTGCCATCCCACAGAGTTATGTCAGACTATCGGAGCATCCTCTCAACACAATTTATTC